CTTCGGAAGCAATGTGCAAATCAAGGTTCTCCATATACTCAATGTTTTTGACGTTTTACAATAAATGGTTGAACTTTTTTTAAAAATTCATTGACACGTATGAGGAAAATAAACAACCGTTTTACATCTAATCTGGCTTTGAGACTACAACTGAAACTTTCAGGATATGTTCAATTAAATGTCATATTATCTGCTATGTTATACGAGTGTAAAGTAAATTTTACAAGGCACTACAAACATGAAACCTCATCAGAAAGCGTATACAAAGTATATACACACTGACAAAGGATCCTGCCTTTTCATTGCTTTAGATTATCGGCTCACTTTTAAGGAGTCAAGCCAACCTCGTTGTATCGACGGGGAAAGAAGTGGGGCTAGGAGGTGTAGATGGAGAGTAAATCTGAGCCTCAGATAAAGCCTCAGCTCCAGAGAGGGACTCGCAGGAGAGAAGACATGGGTGGGAGCAGAGATTACTCGGGGAGATAGAGTGGGGCTGGTTAAGGAGGATCAGTTTATCTTCACACAGGCCTACACGGCTCCCCGAGGGCTTCAAGACAGGGATGGACTTTTTTTTTTTTTCCATCCTTCAACTGATCATTAAAACACCGCAAACTAAGGATCGGATGCCTCGTTAAACTTGCAAATGGCGTGTATTCGAGCAATAAATGAGACAACTATGTTTATTTTTGCCCAGACCGATTTTCAAAATCTTATTTCCAACTAACTGTGTCAGTCAGATTAGACTTCATTTCATCATTCGTAGAGTCTTAAATTGAGCGATTGAACTGTTTGGGTGATATGATTTCCACTGTGGGTTTTATCTCATGAGCAGATGATGGTGTTTTTTTTTTCATATGAATGTGCTTCCCCCTGTAGACGAGTCACGATACTACAGCTTGGTCTCGTGCCCCCAGCTCAGACATGCATGACATGGTTGACTTGCCTTTGATTGTCCTGTATAGGTTTGTGAGTCCGGCATCTCTGCTGTCTTAAATGCTGTTGCAGCTGAGACTCTGCCAATATCTAGGATGCCCTGCAGGAAAACAACAGAGAAAAAAAAGAAAAAGAAAAAAAAACATTGTTTATTTTAAAGAGAAGAATCCAATTAGCAGATATAAAGCGTAGCTAGGCTCAACAAAAGCCTCCGGCAAAACGTAATTAGGACAGAGTTTACTGAGGCTACATAGGATCATATCTGCATTCTCTTTATTAGCAGCTTTTCCTGTGTTTGCTTTTTTTTTTTTAAACATCTGATGTAGGATTTGAGTTGACTTCAGGTCCTCAAACACACATCTTGACCTGTCTCTGTTTTTGTCTGCAGCCGCGCACACACACACAAACAGACACATCCCAGATGGAGACGGATTAGCGAAGATTTTCCTTCATTTAATAAACAATCGAGTGACACAGTGCTGAGGATAAACCTGCTCAAAGAAGCACAAGAATAGTCTGGAGCTAGGAGACTACAGGGCATTATCCTTACTTCATCACCACGTATCTGTGCATCATTCAGAATTACTGTCTCCACGCGTGGCTGCAAGGCTTGCCGCAGCTGGCACTCATTCACATTGAGAAGCAGCGCGGTTTCATCAACCTACAGCAAAAAAAAACGGATCACTTCTGGTGGTGTCTCTTGTACACAATGTGTATTAATAGGCATTCGACGTCCCGATGACATTACAGAAGACGAGGTGCTGCAGAAATTCATCATACAGCAGACAGAATCCCAAACGAGACCTCCTTCTCCGAGTTGTTACGTAATTGTTACCCCACATACGTGTAGCTCTGTTGGTCGACAGCAAAGACAATAGATGGTGGAAATGAAATCATAGCACTAAAAGGATTTGTGAGGGGGGGAAAAAATCTGGGAAAAAAAAGACAATTCCACTGCGCCCTCGGGTGCGGTACATTATCAATCAGGAACAGGCTGATGTGATGGCGGCTCCAGGAATGATGATGATGATGATGATGATAAAGATAGTAATCTCACGCATGCATGTCCGATATTTTGGCTTTACTGCTCGACACCGCTTGACATGAGGAAGATGAAGACATGCTTTGTGATTAGATAGAGGACGATTTTTGAATCTCACGGCACACATCACAGGGCTTGACATCTTTTCATGTGTTGATGGTCCCATCAGAAGGTTTTTTAGCCATCTGGGAATTTTAGTAATCTTTCCAGGCATGATAAAAATCCCATTGATGATGACTTTGGTGGCGCCCTGGTATTTCTCCAGCACCATCAGCAGGTTTCATTTTCAAGGTTCTATCGAGTGTATTGCCTTGAAATTTTGCACAGACATCGTCCCTGTGCCATCATCAGGTTCAAATGGTAATTTCTACTTTGCAACATGTGTTTCTTGTTTCTAATTGAAGTTCGGAGTTCAAAATGTTCAGTTTTGTTCTTTCTGTTCACTCATTGTGTTCATAAATGCTAAAAACATGTTATACCCCAAACATCACATCATTTAGTCCTGAGTGCTTCAGTGGAAGCCCTGACCTGGTTGAATCTACACAGACATCCCATCAATTAGGTTTGAGTGCAGGGGAATTGTGTTGGATGGAAGACTAATTTCACTGCGCCTTTAAAAAGTTTACAAATCGGTTTCTGTAATTTGTGAAAATGTCATAATTATCATCTTCTACTTGCCTTCTGCCTTCAAAAGCTGTGTTTTTTTTTTTTTTTTACTTGATTTGAGCCATCAGATGTTTCCTTTAGCTCCCATGCCTCATTCAAACTCCCAACATGCGGGATCAAACATCGCATGACACGAATGATTAAATGTAAAGCCGAGTGATCTGCTAATTGTAATTTAGATGCCGCTGTGATGATGATGGCATGATGGCAACGTCGGTGGGAGAAATGACCACGTGTTACATCATATCCATGTCCAGCTGAGCTCTTTTGCTCACGTGAGGTGATAGGGTTAAGCCTGGGATTGTTTGGGGATTAGTCAGCAGGACTTAGCAGATTCTGAGATTCAGAAATTAAGGGACAGGAGCGGCGCAGTGGAGGGACGGCATTGTCCCGAGGATGAATGAGAAAGTCACTACACCAAAACTGCGTGGAAAACAAGTTGTGGCTCTCTTTTCCTTGTGCTTTCTGCCTCCTTCACACACGCAATCTCTTTGTCTCACACGCATCTTCCCCTCTCTCCATGTGGACACCGTTCAGCCCACCCCACCTCCACCACCACCACCTCCACCACCCATCGCCTAATTCTCCTGCCTCTGCATGCTTTCCGTCTGGAAAAGGAGGAAGGCGTGCCTGGCTGAACAGATGTGGAGATCTCAGCTGGCCGTCTGTGGATCATAACACTCCTATCTCTCTCCCCTCTACCCACTTATCCTCCCCGTCCATCCGTTTGAGCACATGACGGACACTTTTCACTGTTTTCTTTTCTGCCGTGAAAGGATCAGCAGTAGTTCTTTTTTTTTTTCTTCTTCTTCTTCTTCCTTGCGTTTGAGTTTTTGAACTAAGCTTCAAACTGGAGACACAGGTGGAAACCAACTGCTGGGATCAGTTGATCCAGCTTCAGCTGTCCGGTTCAGGTGACTGGGAACCCTGTGAGTTGGACACCCTGCTCTCTTTTTTATTTTTTTTTTAATCTCATCATCTCTTTCTTTTCTTTGTCACAAGTTGCTATGACTACATCATGACTCGTTCATCACTGTCATGGTCATTTTTGCTTCTCTTTAACAGCTTTCTTTTACTTGGTTTCAGTTTGTAAAATATATTTAAGCCTTTCCACGACAGTTTCTACTTTGTGATTTTGTATTCTGCAGAGTCTTTATTACCGAGTCAGCAATAGAGAGATGACAGAAGTAGAGAGACCACAGCACCTCAGCTGCTTTGTAGAAATGTTAGAATACAACTAAATGTCATTGATCTTGTTTTAAACTCTAGTTTTTGTTTTTGAAAATTATTAAGATTGCCATTTTTCTCAAATGCACTCAGGACTTTGCTCTTGTTTGCCAGGATTGGTTGAGGATGAAGCAATTAGCCTTGTTTCACGTGAGAACAGCAGAATGTAGGGGAAAAGCAAGATGTTAAAGTGGAAAACTTTAACATGCAGTCATGATTTAAGACTTACTTTATGTGGGCTTTAACTAGATCTCAGCTCAGTGTCAGCAGCAGTATGTTACATGATGGTCGTGTAATTTAGATGGAGCAGACACTTGCTTTTCGCAATAACTTCATAAGCAATTTTATGATCATGTAAGATATTCGTTATAAGTGTCCTGATTGTCACATGATTTATGCATGTGTTTATCGAAGCTCTTGTATAAGGAAGAACGGTGTGTGGACGTGCCATAAAAGTCAGGAACTTTTGCTGGAGGGCCTCTGCAGGCCTGGGACCCTGTGTTTAAACACCTGAGGGTGTGAAATGTATGGACATAAAGATGTTGATCACAGTATATAATAACAGACGTTTGCAACACAAAAGCAAAACACAAAAGTAAACCTGCAACAATTCACAAAAAATGAGAAATTCAGATTAACGAGTCATCTTTTAAGATATTTTTGGAAAATGATAACGAGTATTCTGTTAAGACTTGCTGTTTTATAGTAATAAATATAATTGCTAAGTGAATATCTTTGAGTTTACGACCATTGATCAGATAGAACAAGATGTCTGAAGATGTCACACATGGCTTTGGTAAATATGCACATTTTCCACAGTTATCTGACCTTTAACCCAGAAAATAAGCTGATTAAATGATAGTTATATGGTCATTAGTCGCATCCCTGCAAAAAACACAGATTCAATCCAATGCTCAGAATGGAAATAAATACAATAAACTACAACTTTCATATAACACTGATGCTTAATTCCATGGTGGTCTGGCCACCACAAATCATCAATCAACACCGCTTTAACTCTGTCGCACTGAAATGAAAAACGTGACATGCAGACTTAACCCCGTATTAAAACCCCTACCGATCTGTTGTCCTTACAGGTGACACCCAGAAGGTGGAATTCCCCAAAAAAGAGATGGAGGTGGTGAGGGGCCAGATGGTGGTGTTACACGCCTGGTACAGCCCCAACTCAGACATTTCCAAAAACACTGTGGTTTGGCACTTCAAGGGCAACGAGTCCAAGCAGGTGAGAGGGTCACGACCACGACGCTGTGATGATCTGCTGTATGGTTGACCCTGATCTGACCTCCAGCGGAGCAGAGAAAACAGAGCCTCTTTAACGGGATTACAGTGAACTACAGTGCTGATCCTCTGACTACTATAGCACAAGCATTATATCAAATACAAAATTATTAGAGCTGAAAGAATGAGCTGAACTACTTTGTGAAGATACAGTTTATCGTACTATGGCCATGAAAAATTCCTTTAAGCAAATGTTTTACATACTATACCAGGATTTACATTAAAACTAGTGGAAATGAGTATTTTTTTGTATTGAATGACACCGTTATATCCTGACAAACCGATGCAGTAACTTGTGAGGTGAAAATGATGGTCTGTAGAGTTCAGGATTATTGCTAACACCGCCCTAGTTCACAGAGGAAGGAAGGAAGGATGGGTGTTATTAACGAAAGGATACCACTAATGACATTTTATCTGCTGCACCTCATGTATGTGGCACGAATTGCTGGTGAAACTGTAACATACGTGCACATGCCGAGCATGTGTGTTTGCATGATTAATATAATCTAAACAGTTTCAGTGTCCGATGCATGTGAGCTTATCTCAAACAGAAAATCAGCCTAAAATTCAACGGCCACCATCTGTACATGTCGGGATTATCTTTATGAAGGACGTTGATTTCTGTGGTTAATCTGTGCATCTTAATATGGCTACAGCGAATAAAATTAAAAGTGTTTCATTTGAGTGAAGTGATGCATTAATATAAAAAATATTGAATTTGTAAAGAAGACTCAGTCTGCGTAGAAATGCAGCGATGCCGAACAGGAGTCAAGTGTTTGTGTTCATGTGTTTTCTCTGTGCAGGTGATAAACTTTAGCTCAGGTGTGGTCGGGCACGGCCAGAACGAATTCACCAAGAGAGTGGGCTTCAGTGTGGCCATGCCCTCAGCCAACCTCTCCATCTACATCAACAACACCCAGGAGTCTGACTCGGGTCTCTACTTCTGCAACGTCATCATCCCCGGAGCTCCTGGCCTTTCTGGGGAGATGCGCCTTAATGTCAAAGGTAATGGTCCGCAGCGTGAGAGGAGCTTCAAAGGTTAGATTTAATCAGAACGGTCTGCAGCGCAGCTTAGACATTTCTTTGGATTTGAAAAATTCAGGCAAAGCAAATGCTGACCATATTTAGAAGGATTTTGGATTGGACCAGTCTGTTAAAAATCAGATATTTATGTGAGAAAGCACTGTTCAAATAAAACTCATCTGCTGCTTAGGGATTCGCAGAGCTCCGAGGTCGTTATGTCATCCTCCAGCAGCAGATGGAAACGGGACGAGGAGGGGGGGGGTCAAAACATCTACTTATTTTTATGCAATATGGCTACTGCCCTGAGAAATCTTCACATCGCTGGCAGTGGATTAAAACTTAGATACATGTTCAGTTGGGGCTTGTTGATCCTGTATTCTTATCTTACATGTGTTAAGTTAATACGCCGCCCGTCTCTCTGCCCAGTCCCTCCTTCCCCCCCAGTGTGCACAATGACGGGGAACCCGGTGGTGAAGGGCAACGTGACGCTGAGCTGCAAGTCCAGTCATGGAAAACCCGTCCCGCAGTACAAATGGACAAAGGCTGCACCCATGTCAGAGGTCTTCTTCTCCCCAATGCAGAGTGAGTGTTCTCTGAGCACACAGTGAGGATGCAGCACAATTGGTACACCCCCCCAAAAAAACACAAAACAGGGCAGCAGTGCACTCATCGCTTTTTGCACTACTTAGGACATTATTGCATATGTTCAGCAATGTGCAAAATTCAGAGGTGCAACATCAGTTTTTAGAGTTCTTAATACACTTAATAAGCTATTGTTACAACAATAAGATGTACCACTGTTTTCATAGATACACATAAACATACAATTTATTTTTTTACTAGATTTTTATGAATTACATTTTATACTGTACTTTTAAAAATGTTGTCTGGTTTTGTGAGTGCATGGATGGGACTGCTGCCTAATTTTGTGATACATTGCACAACGACACTGAAAGAAATTCTGTTCCACTGTAGTCCAACTCACACATTTTCTTATTAACCATCTCATCTGTTTTTATAGGTAGTTCTGGATTTCATATGTCCAGTTTTTTTGGCTCTAATTATACAGAGATGCAGTTTCCAAAAAACATTTTGCTGAGTTCTTCAAATATGATTGTTTTCATGCTGTAAATTAAATTACATTCCCTTTTTTTCCCCGTTGACATTTCTGACAGCAGACATTTTGGCATGTCATAGGAGTAAAAGCAGGTATAATGGACATTTAAAACTGCAGTCCATTTAGATGAGCCAGTTCTGTTGTACATGCTCATTCACAACTAATGCAGCTCGGCCACCATTAACAAAAAATAGCTTCACCTGAGCTTTTCCTGCTATGACAAGTCAAAGTCTGCCATAACAAGGTCTGTTGGCACAGAGGCTGACATCTCCAAACCTGCACAAAACTACTTTTATTTTCAATCCTTTTTACTGATGAGAGGAGACATGATTCACATTAAAACAGGTGTCATACTGAGCACACAAGCAAAGATGTAATTTCCACTGTGCAAGATGAAAACCTGTCACCTGAACTCTTCAAAATCACTTATTTGTCCCTGTCACTCATAGATTTCCTGTTTCTGACTGAAAAATCACTCTAATTTACATACAAAGAGATCAAAAGCAAGCAAAACAGAGCAGTACAGCAAGTGCTTTTTTTCTTGCCCTGTGTTTTCTCTCTTGGACGATCTCTTACAGAGAAAGAGTACAGGGACTAACCAAGTCGAAAAGAAGTGCTTCCACTTTCTCAGCTTAGTCTTTGAGCTAAACAAAAAGCTAATCTGTACATTTTTCAGTTTGAATCCTCCTGAAAGTCTTTGGTGGGATTTAAAGAGAGCAGAGGCAGCAGAGAAACTACAGAACATCAGTGAGTTCGACGCTTTTACATCTGAGTAATGGAGTAAAATACTAAAAGAAAGGCATCTGGAATTACCAGAAATATATATTGGAGATCATGAAGGTCTTGTGAAATATTGACTATGGAGGTTGAGTGATTTTTTTATTTTTTTAAATCAATTAATTAATTTTATTCGTTAGCTTTATATTCTCAAAAATCAACCAACCATCAGACTTTATTTGACTGTTCACCGAGGCTTTGGCTGATAGGTTTGCACTACACCGCGCTGTCCTGAAGGATAAGGCGGTTGAATAATTTCAATTGCAGCTGGAGACGTTCCAAATGTACCTCAGAGGAAGATCCTCGATTATTCCATAACATGCAGCGTGAAATCCTCTTTACACACTGAGACACACAGCGTCCTCCTCTCACAGGGCCGCCCGTGCAAGAGAGAGAGAGAAAAAGCCTTTCTTGCATTTTTTTTTTTTTTTTTTAGATGTTTGTTTCCAAATGATGCTGCAGAGACACCATCTGTTTCTGAACAACAGGACTTAGGCTGATTGATTGAGTATTGACTTAACTGCTTTGATCTCTGGCCTTCATCTTTTTATAGTAGAAAAGTAAAATGAAAACTACTTCCTCTGATTGCACACTGACCCGGGGGTTTTGTTGTGCTGTTTGCACTCACGCCTACATCACATGTGTATCTGCGTCGTCTCACTTGACTCCGACACTCGAGTTCAAGCCGCGCATTCATCTTTTTATCCGCGCTGATGTATGGCTAACTGTGTGACATTTGAACCTCACTCTGCCATCGCTGCTTATCTCTTTCAGCAATCTCTCTGTGTCTCTGTTTTCTCCCTCTGCTGATCTTCTCGCGGCACTCCTCATTTCCTGTTGACCTTGTTGCCTAATCTAACAAGGCCCATGTCATTACTTGATCAACCTCTCTAAGAGGAATCAGTTGGATTTGAGACTGAAAGTGCAACTCGATTCACTCTTTCCACCCTGTTCCCATCAGTTTGTACCACTTTTCCCCCCCCCCATCTCTCATTCATTCTCACTGTCTCTGCCATTTCTCCTTCTGCAAAATACAAAAAAAAAAAAAAAACAGAATGGAGAGCATGCCCCCAGCCCTTGCTTGTCCTTGGGTTCATGGGTAAGGGTTTTCACTCATACATTTTCCATTTAGCTCCATCCCACCTTCACCTGCAAACCATGACATCCCGTGGAGTCCTATTTTCTTCATTCAATATGCAAGCTGTAGAAAAGCTTTAAAGGAAAAAAAAAATCAACCCAGTTTGTAAAAAATGCTTATAGGATTATGTTTTTGCAGAAATGATTACCATCAGAAGATTAGCATAGGTGTCAAGCCAGGTGATAATCCCACTCAACCTTAAAGATTCACTCTTTCCTGGAACATTTATAGATTAAATCATCAGGTCATAGTTAATCTTTATTGTACTGCGTGGAATGATGAAAAGATGTTTTACATTGGAATGTTTTTCTAGTAGGATTTTCAGACTTGCATACCTTAATATTTTGTGATTACAGGGTTGAATTTATCCTTTAAACCTTTACAGTATGTGTGTTGTGTTTGATTTAGCTGTGTGCTATATTTAGATGCAATATGTTTTCTACCCACGTCTTGATTGGTGTACACTGAAAATGTCCTACCATTAAAAAACACACAAAAAAACGAGCATAACTAATAAATATTCGAGTCGATAATTAGGCGGAGTTATGCTAAAAGTACTGTCAGTTGATTGGCAATCGACAAAAAAATGTTAACATTGATTTATTATTGTCAATATTATTTGACTAAAAAGTATTATTTTAAAGGAATTGCTTGACATTTTGAAAAATACACTGAACTTTCTTGCTGAAAGACAACAAGTTTGATGCTAACAACCAATTAGCTTTACTTGTTAGCCTGTTAGCAGGCAGAAACACATGACTTAGTTCTGTCCAACAATGACAAATCCATCTTGCAGCTTTATGTCTCACGATTAACATATAGTATCTTTTTCATTTAAAATGTACAAAAACCAAAGTGTGAAAACAATACGTTGTGGTTTAACAGGTTTTAATTACGTAGATGGCTAGCTAGCCAACGAACGTCAGCTTTAAGTGTTGACTGGTTGGTTACCTTTAGACAGAGCTAGGCTAACGTTAGCAGTTTGAGCACACTAACTTGCTAATTAAAACTCGTAAAATCACAGAGTAGTGTTTGTACACTTTGGCTTTTGTGGATTTCAAACAAATTAGTGAGATTGGGGGGTGAATGTTGTAGCTCATCTATCTCTACGAAACCTAAAAAGCATTCAGTGTTAAAAACACAACTTGCTAAATAATACTTCCCTTTATCATCGTTACGCTGGTGGTTTTCATAATTGGAAAAACTAATCTTGCTTGGGTGATAGTGTCAAGTCAGGTAGCTGCAGTGGCTTTGGATGTTTAGTCCTTTTATTGCTTTTCAATGTTGAGTTTTTGTCAATGTTTTTCGCTTTTTTGACAAGAATTTATAAAACAAACAAAAAAATCCTATTAAATCTCGGCTAGAGTGTCCTAGAAGGCTTGCGTGGGTCTCTGAAGTCAACTAGAAAAAGGTTCTTTGGTCTGATGAGACCAAAATTGAGCTTTCTGTCCATCAGACTAAACGCTACACATCATCTCAAATGAACCACGCTAACAATGATGCATGGTGGTGGCAGCATCATGATGTGGGAATGCTTCACACCAGCAAGCCCGGCAAGGCTTGTAAAAGTAGAAGGTAAAATGATTGGAGCAAAGTACAGGGAAAACCTGCAAGAGAAGTGCGACTGGGGAGAAGATTTGTTTTCCAGCAAGACAATGACCTGGAGCATACGGTTTAAAGACAACAAGATGAATGTTCTGGAGTGACCTAGTCAGAGCCCAGACATCAGCCCAACACATAATTTGTGGCTGGACTTGAAAAGAGCTGTTCAATCATGATCCCTGTCCAACCTGACAGAGCTGGAGCAGTTTTGCAAAGAGGAATGGGGAAAATTCTGATGTCTGGATGCCTGAGGCTGATTGAGTCCTTTTCACACAGGCTCAATGCTGTAATTGCAGCCAAAGGTGTATCTAGTAATTCCTGAGTTGAAGTGGGTAAACACTTGTACAATCACTTATTTTGTTGCACTTTGTTTAAATCTCAATGTAATGTGCAGAAATCTGAATGAAATGTTGAAAAGCAAATAAAATGGGAAAACTTCCAAGTGGGATTAACATTTTTTATCGCCACTGTATACCATGAGCTACATATAGAAAAACGCGTGATTTACATTAACCACGTGTCAGGTGCCAAGGCTGTGACAAATGCTGCTCATTGACCTTGCAGTGATGGCAGGGTAATATGAGTAATGCTCCTGTCTTGATATGAGGCAGCACCTAATGTAACGTCAGATCCCCTCCAGCTCTGCTGCCACGGGGGGATCTGACGGCTGTGTGGGCCTGAACTCCCTCCCAGCTCAGTCAGCTGATGTCTGCTAATCTGTCACAATTGAGTTTGGTCCTTCACAGCTGGTTTTTCAAGCCACGGGGATTAAATAATCAGAGAGGGACAGTTGCATATCACACTTATCTGCAACTGTTTAATTTGGCACTCATGTTTGTTTTGATCTCCAAGACATGATTGTAATGCTCTAGATGGAAGCTTTACAGTGAAGGTGGGTTAGATAATTTCTTGTTTTGGTTAAATAACGAAGCAGATTTACTGTAGTTTTAGAATTGTGTGCACTCGCCTACCTCCTGGTGGTGCAGTAGCAGATGGTGCAGACAAAACATCAGTCCACCTTTCACTCACCGTAACTTTAGGATGAAGGCATCTGTTTGGATTTGAATTAATATGTTGCTCGACTTTGCATTTGAGATGATTTGGACGACTCCCTGGATTGCATTACTGTTCTGTCGTTGGGGATTGACTCAGCGCAGAGGGCAACTGACATTCGCAAACATTCGGTGATCCGAACCACACATTTAGGGGGCGATTCCCACAAAACCGATGCACACACACACGTCGTTTTCTCACGTCGCCACGAAAGCAGAAACACATCAGATGAAGACATGCTGCAATGTGACGTCCAAGATTGGATTTCAGAGGATTTGTTGCGATAAGTCCCTCATGAAGCTTGTTTAGATTTCTTCATCCTATGTGTGCAACACAGCGTTTTAAAGCCAGATGTGCTAAGAGGAACGGATTGTTGGGCGGATGCACACACCCCCTTGGTCTGGTCATGACCTTGGTGCGAGAAAATATTAGAACAAAAATTGCTGACCAACATCATTATATTGCAGAACTGCAGAATCCGCAGCAGAGCTATCTGCTGTGGGATTGCACCAACACCAAAATGTATACAGTAGATAGTGGAAATGGGCCAATAGTGGATTATATTCTGGATTAAGGGTGGCAATCAGTAACTAATGATTTAACACGGCTATGAGATGTTGCACACAGTGGTGATATCATGATGCAGATGGTGATTGTGGGTAAATAAAGAGGACATCACACCACTAACACTACAAATAAATTAAAAAGGAGTTACTGTATTTATTCACTGTTTTCAAACTCTGCCAGTCACTGTAGGCTGAACTAATTTCAACAGTTACACCAACATACTAAAATAATGCAAATTCAAGTGTGAAACTTGCGAAAAACTGGCAAAATAATGACCCAAAGCGCACAAGAACTTTTTTTTTTCTTAAATTCTGATCTAAAGATATTTTTTATTTTAAAAAAAAATAATAAAAAAAAAAAGCTAAAAACTACATTTCCTTACCGTCTATTGCAGTACTTCCTTTCCTACAGTAACTTTAGCACCCCAGCGTGTCATTCTGTGTGTGTGTGTGTGTCTGTAGTTTCCTTGACTTGTGTTATTCGCACAGGTCACATAAATAAATGATTGTGAAGTGTCTGTATCTGTGTGGTTGTTTCGCAGATGAGAGACACGGCACCCTCAGGTTGAGCAACCTCACTAAAAGCATGTCGGGGAAGTACATCTGCCGGGCCAGCAACACCGCCGGCTCCGACAGCTGCTCCATTAACCTAGAGGTTATCACCTGTAAGTGCTCCGCCACACACCACAGTATTCAGCTCTTTTTGTTTTTTTTAAATAACAGCTCATTATGTGTGAATACCTTCTGTTGTTGTATTTCTCAGCTTCCAACGCTGGCATGATTGCGGCGGCTACTCTGGGTTCGGTGGTGGGGCTGGTGGCCATGGTGCTCTTCCTTATATTCATACTGAGGAGGAGGCGGGACACGGAAGAGGAGATAGCCAATGAGATCAAGTGAGGGTTTTGCTATGTGCACAGTTTATTCACTTTATTTTATTACACGTGTAAAATATAGTGCAATTCCATTGTTAAAAATGTGTAAACTCAAATACACGTTTATTACTCAGGTCATAATTGAAGGTGAGGTTGTACTTTATATTGAGAAGTGCTTCAAATTTATCTCCTTTTAACCCACATACTTGAGAATGGCAGAATACTAGAAACACCTGTGAGCATACTGTTAAACATCTAATTCAATTCTCTATGATAGTTTCAAAAAACTGAACATCACAGCATCATAAAAGTAGACATTATGACAACAATTGTGTTGGATTGCATTAGATTGACTTGAGTGCTACATTTTTATAGTGACATAAATTCCTTAACATCAATCCCATTTTTTATTGAGAAAACGGTCTAAAAGTTTGGAATCTTTTTGTTTATTAGACTCTCAGAGTGAAGTTATTGTGCAGCACATATTGGGTCAACAAATATGTTTAACTATAGTCAGCAGAAAACTACAAAAAAAGAGTTTTGCTGTGTCTGCACTCATACTACAAAGTAAGGAACTATTGCTGCTGCTGTTATTATTGTTGTGCTGCTGGTGTCCTAACATTGTTAACACACTTGAAATAAATGTATAATCTGATTCAGAATAGGTTCATGCCATTCCAAATACAGCAACAGAATGTTAACTCGAGTGTTTAGGAATTCAATTTGCAAATAACGAGTGACCACTTACACACTTTTCTTTTCTATATTGTTTCATTTTATTAAATCAAAAGTCATCAAACTAAGCCAAAATCATTTAATAGTTCTGATTTATAAAACAAGTCCAATACTTAGTGCTTGAATAAATGGTTAATTATTGGAAATATTGTTACTTTTTGCATCGTCATATATATCTGACAGCTTTAATCACTGGTAACTTTGAGGGTTCTGATTTTATATAACAAAATGTATGATCATATAGTGGTATATAATGTGTTATACATTAAGCCTGTAAAAGTTGCCCCACTTTGTCCAGCTACAACATCACAATCTAAACCCTGTGATAATATTTCAACAATATCTATATTAATAATGATAAAAACCGTTCTTCCTAATGAGTGATTTCATTTCGGTTCTGTTTTGTTGCGTTACTGTCTGTGTTTGGTTCTTCACTGTGTATACGTATGACTGTATACTGCATAAGACGGTACGAGTTCATCAAAAATGTAGAGTGTACAAATGTTTTGTTGTTAAAACCTAATGTGAGTGCAAAATGTTTTGGAAGTGTTGCTCATTTTAAAGGGTAAAATGTGTGTTATCAGTTTATTAAAGCATTTCTCTCATATTTTCTTTCCTCTCACTCCCTTTATTCTCTCTCTACAACAGGGAGGACGCTCAGGCACCAAAGCGAGTGTCATGGGCGAAGAGCAACACCGGCTCCGACATCGTGTCCAAGAACGGAACGCTGTCCTCCATAGCCACCAGCCCTCGACCGCGGGACCCCCACCAACCCAACTACCACTACCCGTACTCCCCCATATCGGCCTCAGACACAGGCTCCGTGATCAACGCCTACCAGCTGCGACCTGGAGAAGCCAACACCTTGCAGGGACTCCCAGGTTACAACATGGGGGGCACCCCTTCACGTAAACACAAGCGGCCTCCCAGCACCAACGGGGCTCCTCCGCAGCTTCTCAGGAGCCCCGCAGTCGCCAACCCCAAAAGGACTGAGGGGGCTCAGCCTCAGGTGCCACCTCCACTCACTGTGTCCCCACAAATCAGCTCCAACACCCTGACACGCATGGGAGCTGTTGCTGTCATGGTGCCTGCCCAGAGTCAAGCCGGCTCGCTGGTGTAGCCAGCAGGAACATCTCTGACGGGAAATAAAGGACACACGCAGAGAGAGGATGCCTTGTGGAAAGTGGAAAGCACTTTGTCCATGAAGACCTGAGAGGTTGTGAGAGAAAAGAAAAAGAAAAAAAACATCTCGCAGGCAGTTTGTGCTTCATTGGCACAAACTCGCCCTTCGGTTTGTTAATTGTTTTTCATTTCAGTTTCTTTTTGTATGCTGCATTCAGGCTCACTGAAGAGAAATATATTTTTATTTAAATGCTTAGAAATTATCTTGAGAAATGGCGACCAACAGTGTTAAGATTTTTAGGCAGCAGTCTGTCAGGATATTGTAAACTATAATAAACAGGTCAGTTTACTCTTTTGAGTTTTGCAATTCTAGAAAATTCTGTTTTACATTTGTATGATTTGTATGACAACCTCATTATAAACGCGTTTTTATGATTTTATTTTTATTTCACTCTACCTGGCTGCATAAGGATCACTTTTCTCAGGCTAACTGCACTGTTTAGAGCAAAAACCCACAATTCAGGTACTGCCAATAGTTTCAAATGTTTCACTTCCTTTGACCCACATTTACTTCATGTTCACTTAAGGGTAGTTTATTTAACCTGCTGTAACAGTGTCAGTATGGTTTCATGTCTACTGAGAGTAAATGCTTTGAGTATTTTTGCCTGTTATGGTAGCTGGAATGTAACCAAAATAGAGAGTATAACATTGTTGGTGATTTCTGACTATTTTGTTTAAAAGTATAAGTTGATTACTGCAAACATATGAGGCCAGTAATTGGGGAGATTGGTCAAGAAAACGATCCAACAGGTTTTCCCCAACATTTGACCAGTGTTTCTTATTATGGTCTTGTTTGTTTACTTGTAATTTTACTAAACTCTGGAAATATTGTGGCAGTGATTTGTTGATGTTGAAAGGCTACATGTAGCACTTTTAATGCAGTTTGATTGTTAACAGTTTGTTTCTTTTTCCAATAAAGCATTCTGGAGTGTTTGGCTGAATACGAATCACTTCACAAGCACATTATTTTGAATGCAAACAATGATGGAAAATGTAAAAAACTTATGTTGAGATAATTTTATTTGGAGTGTGATCGGCAAAGTGACATTTCAGTACATAACCCACGATACAAAACCCATATAGTTCTATCATTTTGGAGACTACAGAACACAAAACAGGGCAAAACACAGTAACAATACAGTGGCACTGAATATAAATATGCTGTGAAAGGCCACTTTAGAGACGGATGCAATGAATGCATTTGATGCAGAACAACCGTATCCAAGATCTGTTACGGACAAAAGAATCCAAACCTCCTCATGAACTGAGTTAAACTGTTGTAAAAAGCAGCTTTTTGTTTTTAAAAAAAACAAAAAACAAGAAGCTTCACAGGAGCCACATTTTCTGAATGAAAAATCCAAACTGATATATATTTAGATTCTTACCACTTTGGAGGTTGAGCCAGAGAAATGGCTGAGAATTGTGATAAAAAACTAAAGTTTGTTTTTTAGCTCATGTACAGTGGTCATAATTTGCCATCTTAAAATCAGTCAGGGAACATGAGACTTTGTAACCAGCATTGTTAGTGTTCATCATGTGCATTCTGTACTTAAATAAAATGTTCTTCATCTACACTGTCTGTACTTACGAGCTGAATGCTAATGTTTAGCATGCTACATTAGCATTGATCTTGAAGTACAGCTACGCTACATGAAAGGTCAGCGGTCAGGCCAGTGATGGTGACTGGATTCCTCCTGTATGAGCCACAAATCAATATTGTCTATATTTTACCTGGAAATCCATGCAGCTACTGCAGTTATTTCCCTGTGGACCTGTGTCGTCCAGCAGATCATAGATCAACACTGCCGTCCCAGAAGCCTTGTCACCAGTGTAGCAAGAAATGAAACAACAAATCTAATATTACACTAGAAAAATCTATGCTTTCCTGACTAGTTCATCCCAAATTCTCCCACAATTTGTGCCACCTATGGAAAAAACCATGATGCAGAGAGAAATTGAGGACCAATCAAACAGTAACAAACCAGATATGAAGACCACAACAATATGGTCAATTGAAGGTCCAGGGGAAAAGATTCATCATGACTCTGTCAGCAGATTTCGGGAAATGATCATCCTCATCACCTCGTTGGTTCCTTTAAGGTGAACAAAAGAGACTGTCGTCATTACGAAACCACAACACGACAGCCTTCTCAGACGTGTAAACAAAGAAATCCTATTAAGACATGATACACATGACATTCACAGAAAAGTCACCGTTATATAAGCTCACCCTCTAGGATCTGATGGACTCTGATGTCCCGAACAAACTGCTGCACTGCATAGTCTTTGAGGTAACCGTAGCCGCCGTGCATCTGAAGAGCCTGGTTGCAGATCTGTTAAGTAAAAACAGTTAAAAAAAAATAAGGATTTGACGGTTCCTTTGTGATTCTAAACGCTGTGGGTTTTGCTGAATGTCACTCACATTAAAGCACTCATCTGTGACAAAGAGCTTGGCCATGGAGCAGAGGGAAACAGCATCAGGCCGACTCTCCTGCAGCGCCGTCGCAGCTTCGCGCACCAGAAGGCGAGAAGCAACCAACTTAGTGGCCATTTCTGCCAGTTTGAACTGAAGAAACTGTAAAAATAACACAGACAGGCAGATAGAGGGTAACTTTTCATCAGTGGCAGGACCAGCGGCTTAATCCTTGACATTGTGGTTCACTTTGTCCTTGTGTGAGCGGGAATGTGAGCGACTTACCTGGTTGTTGGAGAGCGTCTCTCCAAATTGCTTGCGTACCAACAGGTGATCCCTCGCCAGCTGCACAGAGGCATGTGCTGCCCCGAGAGAACAGGAAGCTGATGGCAGAGAGTTTAAAGTAAGACTGATGGGTGACTGCGCGCCAAGGTTATAGCAGAGAAAATAATTTATTACCAGAATTAGATTTCTGTTTTCTTTTAAGTATGTAACTTATTCTAAAGAACTGTGACAATAAGTGACAAATCCACAATTGTACTACATGTTAAAACAGTAGGACAGGAGCACAATCAGCTGAGTTATAGTGAGACTGCAACAGCAGAACCTCTGAGTAGACTGAAATGAACAAGAAGCATTTCACTGCTTTTGAATTTACTTTTCATATGTGAAATTAAGGAGGACTGTCTTAAAGTTTCCAAAACCATTAGTCATACCTTTACTACTGTAAGACTCCACTACTTATTTCATCAATATGCACTTTATGTGTGCACAAATCTTTTGCCAATAGTCTCATTCAAAGCTTTTACAGGAGAATTACTTATCACTCTATAAAATATATATTAACATTAGATTGTGAGGATAATTGACATATCTGAATATGTGTTTCTGTGCAACTGAAGGGTGACTACTTTTCTCCTTACCAATATTAATCCTGCCTCCATTCAGGCCTCTCATGGCGATGCCGAAGCCCTGTCCTTCCTCACCAAGCCGGTTGGTCACTGGAACCGGGCAGTCCTCAAATATCACCGCCCTGGTCGGCTGAGAGTTCCAGCCCACCTGGAGAACAGATTGGATAACAGCTGAGAGATCCTGGCCTAACTCTGCCATCTAGTGGTTACCTACAAACACTCTGAGACACCAAACAGTTAAGTAGCGCAACACTGAATTCTACCTTCTTTTCCTTTTTGCCAAAGCTGAGACCTGGAGTCCCCTTCTCCACCACCAAACACGAGATGCCTTTAGGTCCTTTACCTCCTGTTCTGCACATCACAACATAGACGTCTGTATCTCCTCCTCCACTGATGAAGGCCTAATAAGGTACAAAGAAATGAGACATGCTTTTGGCTTGCTGTTGTCTTTTTAAAGAAACTACTTACAGTTTTGCAGGTGTAATATCACATGAGAGGACAGGCAGGTTGAGCTCACCTTAGAGCCATTTAAGATATAATGGTCGCCTTTCTGCTGTGCAGTGGTCAGAAGTGAAGCAGCATCACTGCCGCTGCCTAGAATCAAAGATCATAGGTTTACTGTGTTGTTGGAATTTAGCTGAAGCAACTACTCAGAATAATTTTGCACTTTACAAAAAAGCATCTGCAGCTTGCAACCAATGCCAGATATGTTTTACTTCCATTAATTTTACTTTTCACATACACACTGACCTGGTTCAGTGAGACAGTAGGATGCAAACTTTTCCATCGAACAGAGATCAGGACAGAACTTCTCCCTCTGCTCATTATTGCCAAAAGTGTCTATCATCCAGGCACACATGCTGCAAAGAAAGAAGCAAACTGCAGATTAGCAGGCAAAATAAGCATATACACTGGAGACAATGTAATTCCCTTAAGCATTTTCATAAAACCAAAAAAGTGAAGGGAAAACATCTCACAAAGTGGAAAAAATACCAAGGTGATTTCTGATTTAGGATTTTTTGGGAATAATTCAATAAAGATGACTTTCAGAACGTACTACTGCTTTATTCTGTATGTAAAAATAGTGTAACTGGACACTAGACTAAACTGTTGAGCCTTTATTTGTGAAAAGAATCATCTCAACTTAGAACCAACCAAATAATTTAGCTTTTGAAGAAATTGTAACTACATATGAGGTCCGTACTTGTGTATACTGATGTAGGCTGTGGTGCTGACACATCCTGTGGACAAGGCCTCGAAGATGACCGATGTGTCCAGCCGAGAAAGGCCTGATCCTCCAACATCTGGCTGAACGTAGATGCCACCAAAGCCCAGCTGGGCTGCTTTACGCATCGTCTCCACTGGAAACATTTCCTGGGGAAAAAATCAATGAAAAAAAGTAACAATCATCACAAGAAATCCAGTGCTGGATTTCTATTTTAGGTACTGAGACATTTTGGAATTTATTTAACAACCAACAGTTATTTTTCTTTGCCATGAAATGAAAACAACTTAAGATTTGAAGAATTACATACATGGTGTTTTACAATTGAACAGTTTAAGTGTCAGTGTTCCCGAGTGGAAAAGTTGGCAATTGTCTGCTGCAATATCCTGCAGCTTATCTGTCATCATACCGCATAATACAAGAGATAATGGAATCCTGATAACAATGCTAGTTAGACAGTATAGGGGCCAATATTTTTTAAATGATGCCAAGTGTAGTTTAGATTCATGATGTGCTGTTTCAGACGTCTCTGTAAGGACACTAGATCTTCGACAGATGCTCCTCATGATCACTATGTTACAAAAGATGCCTGTTTTGACATGATGACATTCTGGCCAGTGAACAGTTTTTCTAACTGCATGAAATTAACTTATTACAAAGCCCCACATCTGTTTCCTTCACACTTGATTAATATAATACCAAATGAACTGCTGCAACATACCTTTTGGTCCCATTCTGCCATGTGTGGAGCCATTTCATTAGCTGCAAAGTCAAAGGCCACTTTTTGAAACTCCTTCTGTTCATCTGTGAGTCCATAACTAGCTGTAAACAAATAGCACAGGACATATGATATATACAGATGGACTAATGTCTGTCTGAAGGTTAAATGAATGTAAACTTCTGCAACTGTCACTTTGCTTTTGAATGTTTCTGAATAGCTGCCGGTGAGCAGATTTTAAAATGATTTTAGGAGAATGAGCATGTCATTGACATCAAGTGCGCTTATAAATTATTAAAGTAGGAGAGACTCAGAAAAGAAAGCTTTGAAGTTTGAACATTTTAATGATGAAATTTAGCTTTAGTTTGAGTCTTTAAACGTCCAACATCCTGCCTGTAATGGGGGGCGGTGTTAACGAGGGGCGTGTAGCCTCCTCTGCTTTACTACTGGAGGACCACAGACCCAAAACTAACCAATGACAGCTAGCTCAGATAGAAGTAATATTAAAGAGACTATTTAAAATGTATTTTATCTTGTTCTACAAACAGTCGCTATGTTTGTTTAGGTGCTGCAGAACTGTGTAAGTCATTAGCCTGCTAGCTAACAAAGTTGCCATTCAGAATCTCCTTTCCTCACACAGCATATAAATCGACGTTAACATTTTTTTCTTTTTCTGGGACTTACGGTCGATACAAGAAGCTATTCCTCGTCTCTGTGAGTTTCTGTTAAATAATAAACGGTGGTTCTTGCAGATGCTGGAGCCCAGCCTGGCCATTCTTGCTAGAGGTCCGACCGCCGCCATGTTTACCTCCACACTGGTGAGTTATGTCACTCAACCGCGAACGCTGCTGGGTAATGTAGTTTCATTAATATGGACGCGGGGAGGCGGGATGGGCTTAATATAGACGTCCCACAGTCTGTATGGGGACTGATACCTGTTAGTTAACTCTTTAATAACTGTATTGTCACTGTTAGGTAACTGTTTGCTCACTGTTAGCTAACTGTTCTCTAATTGTTAGCTAACGGGAGCAGTCGGTGAGTAAATCAAGTGCACCAATAAGTTTGTTGTCATCACGTGTTGGGGATTTTTCCGCGGGTTTTGAAGGCCTGAAGAACTGCTTAGCTAAAAGCAGGACTGTATAGTGTTTATGTTGCAGATTTTCTGAGCACAGAAGCCTAAATACGCGAAATTGTAACGGTAAGTGCGTTTGGTTTACATATATCAAGGCTAATACCTGCCACGTGATGCTGCGCATTATTTTGCTGCAGGTTGCTGCTAATTGTAGAGCAGATACACGTGATTAAAGACAAGAATTAAGAGCACTAGTTTCTATTAACGTTGAACAACACTGACTGGTGAACGTGTATTTCATCTTATTACTACTAGTACAGAGTATGCATACTAAAGTACACCATGACTGTTTTATGTGCAGCTAGCAGTTAAAGCTAATGGAGTTCACCTGTTAATGGAAGGTACAAATGTCGTTATGTGGTTTTTTATTTAAGGCTGAGTGAGATGTCAATATTTAATTTATCATCACTGATGTTGGAGGCTCTTCAGCTTAAATGCAAACACAAATTACAGTCTCCAAAATGTTTATAGAGTTGAATCAGCACCTACAAAGAAAACAAAAACAAAAACCCTGAAGATGATAACCTTCCTGCATACAAGATTTATTGCAGGACTGTTGCAGTAGGCTGCAGTGTTTTTAGCTGAATGCTACTAATAAAGTGGGCACTAAGTGTTCCTGATCTTTCATTTATGCCCCAATAAAAGTATTTAGTGCCCTCACTGTAAGGAAAAATGCCAGATTATTCTTGTTCTAATAAATGGCCTGGGGCTCTGAACCTGTAGTAGACATTTTGCACTTTCTTTTGGCATTTTGTAGTCAAAACAATTAATAGATTTCCTGAGAAAATAGGTACCATAATATAGTGAAAAGAATTGTTAGTTGCAGCAAATTGCAACGCCTCGATCTTTGTGTTCATAGTTCACAGTACAGTCTAAATATAAAGTACGGTACAAACATTTTAAGTGCTTTAGATGTTTAGACTGGTGCAATACCATCAGGGAGACAAAAAGCCAGTCCTTAAATGAATTATTGAGACCCTCTGAATCCACCGTAGCTGTACTTCTGACAGATGCTTCGAACAGCCTTTTAACTATACTTTGTATGACATTAACGCTCCGTAATACTGCCATTGTCAAAAATTTAAAATGTATGATATTAAAAATGACTGACACAAATATCGGTTTCTGGCTAACTCAGAAAAAGCGGTACTTGATGACTCAGAGTGCCTCCTTACATGGAGATGTTAAAGGGAAAAAACACTGTAGTTAAAAAATAATATGACTTAACGATTGATGAGTTTGAAGTTGTATAGCGTCAAATCACACAAACCTTTTGTGGATCTTTACAGACTGAGAAATGCCACCAAAGAAGAAAGCCAGAGTGAGTAAAAGAACTGCAGATTCAGGTAAGCAAATTAAATCACAGAGTAAAACTTGTTGTCTGATGTTATTGTCTAATGATCGTCTCAACAACACAGGCAAAGATGACGGAACGGTGTCGTCGTCTGGCGGGAAGAGAAAAGCTGCAGCTTCTGCTGGAAAAAACGGAAAGAGCTCAGAGTCACCACAGTACAGTCACTGGCTGATGAAGTCTGAGCCAGAGAGCCGCTTTGAGAACGGCATCGATGTGAAGGTATGGAGCACTGTGTGTGTATACATTAAAATGCAAAATGTGAGTTGGCCGTGCTTGTCTGACTCTTCTGCTTCATTCTGCAGTTTGGCATCGAAGATCTGAAGGCTCTGCCTGATCAGACTGGCTGCTGGGATGGCGTCCGCAATTATCAGGTAGAACCACAGAACTGACTCCTGTAATGAAAAGATGTTTATCTCAAGTAAGGGAGCAACACAATTCTTGCTACTATTGTCAAGTTATTTTCTCAAGAAAAGATTTTTTCTGTGTGCAGGCTCGCAATTTTATGAGGCAGATGAAAGAGGGGCAGCTGGCCTTCTTTTACCACAGCAACTGCAAGGAACCAGGAATAGCAGGAGTCATGAACGTGAGTCGCTCTTCTCTCTTTGAATGAATCTCCACACAGACGTGATGTTCAGCTGTATCTCCTTTTTCTAGATTGTGAAGGAATCCTACGTGGACCACACTCAGTTTGACAAAAAAGATGTCCATTATGATGCAACCAGCAAACCAGACAACCCAAAGTGGAGCATGGTAAACCGAACACAAGACCGTTCAGTACTGATAGTAAGAAATCTCCAAGGTTAAACGTGTTTCCTTGTCACTCAGGTAGATGTTCAGTATCAAAGAATGATGAAGCGGTTTCTTCCTCTGTCGGAGCTTAAAAAGTACCACCTGCAGCATCGCGCCACAGGAGGGCCTCTAAAGGACATGGCGCTCTTCACAAGGGCCAGACTTTCTGTGCAACCCCTCACTGCTGGTAAGTAACAGCCTCAGCAAAACAATTTTGCTGCTCTGTTCTGTTATGTGGTCGTGAACGATGTTTGTTCTCTACAGAGGAGTTTGACTTTATCCTGAGTCTGGAGGACAAAGAAGCGCTGTGAGGATTTACTTCCTGATGCAGCGAAGCCATCAAACATCTATGTAAAGTACCATTAGCCCAAAGGTTATGTGAAATGTAACTGTGTTTTGTGTTAAAAAAATATTAAATGTCTTTATATTAAATTACGATTTAGTTACATTTCTCAGATTCCTTTTGTTGGAAAATGTACCCATATCTTCAAGCTCTAAGAAACCAGATGCAACACAGAATTTAATCGCAAGTTTGAAACGTTGGGTAGGGCGGCCCTTGTTTATGCAACTTGTAATTTGTGTACAGCAACATCAGAGGCTCTCCTCTATCGCCGGTTTGATCGGATGCAAACAACTTTCTGCACGCCGTAAAATTCCACTGTAACTGCAGCTCAGTGATGATGAAGTGAGTGGAAACATAAAAGGCGTCTGACAGCATGCAGATCCCTTTTATTTGTGCAGCGCTTTATTATCTCGTATTATGGGGAAATCACACAAGAACCCCACATTACACACTGTTCTATGAAGTCTTTATGGATTTTTAATTTTTTTTGTGAACCACCTTTTATTTGAGCTGCATTTCCTCGTGGGCCATTAATTACAAAAAAAACATAAAGAAGGACCTCTGGGTGACATTCAGGTGGCGCCTTCACACATGTGCCGAGAGCTGAACGGTGCTGCTTACCTTGCACATTGCTCAACTAACCTGGTGCTTGCATGACAGGCAGGGATGAGCAGAAAATGCTGCAAAGGCTGCACCAAGCGTAAGGTAGTGACCTCAGAAAAAAGCCTGTCATCACCTGTGAAATGCTATAATGATAATCAGCCTTTTTGCTTAAGTAGAATTTCCTCACATCAAGATACTGGTTGGAAATATCTGGCCTGTTGTATTTATGGTGTGACATGAATAGTTTAAAGTGGCATACATTTTGATTAAGGCAGTTGAAGTTGCTGTATCGCTGTGCTGTGGACAGCTGCTCTTTATTAGTGAAAGCAGATTGAGATGGAGAGGCAGCATGTTGCCATCCCTGTATGCTGGATACTCCAACACGGCTGCAACTATTGATTATTTGTTTTTTTGTTTTTTTTTTTTTTCCCCTTGATTTAAGGTAGAGTTGCAAAACTAATCCAATACCATTTAGTGAATACCTCCTCGCCGTCCACTGTCTGTCCATTCTGTGTTTGTATCCCGCCTTAGCTCTGCAAATAGGGAAACAAAGTGGCTCAGATCAGAGGAAATGGAGGTCAGGGGTCGAGAAAATCAGTAAATCTAGCTCATCCTAACAATCTGTATGTGCAACATAGCTAATCAATCTTTTTCCAGAGTTACATGCTAGAGTACAAACAGGGGGCTGGATCACACTGATTCATTCACAGCCTTGGACGCCGACTTCCACAACTCCCACCCTTGATTTTTTCATCCAATAGATTTTTAAATCCCTGTTCAACCATTTATGGGGCTGCAAGGTGGTGCAGTTGGTAGCACTGTTGCCTCGCAGCAAGAAGGTCGCTGGTTCTTGTCCCGGTGAGGACACCCGGGATCTTTCTGCGTGGAGTTTGCATGTTCTCCGCGTGGAGTTTGCATGTTCTCCCCGTGCAGAGTGGGTTCTCTCTGGGTTCTCCGGCTTCCTCCGACAAGGTCCAGAAACATGTTGAGGTTAATTGGTGATTCTAAATTGTCTGTAGGTGTGAATGTGAGTGTGCTTGGTTGTCTGTCTCTAAGTGTAGCCCTGTGATAGACTGGTGACCTGTCCAGGGTGTCCCCTGCCTTCACCCTGAGTCAGCTGGGATAGGCTCCAGCCCCCCATGACCCTAGTGAGGATTAAGCAGTGTATAGATAATGGATGGATGGATGTTCAACCAATTATCCATTGACAACTGTAGACCTGGTTTAGGCTGAATATATGTTTGCCTCGTGTCTTTGCTAACATGGACTCTGATGAAGACAGTAGTGTTGAAACGTTGGTCTGAACAACAAAAGGCTCTGAATTAAGCATCATCCTTTAGCACCCTTTTTGTACGCAACAGATTTATTCAATTTGTAATCCTGAACAGAACCAATAACGTCTGGGCAGCTCTGCATTATGATTGATTTGCTGTCAACCATCTTTAACACTACAGATCCATATGTATTGAAGAATATGAAAAAATACTGACTAGCTCCACGTGTCATTTCATGTTTCTTCAGGTCAGATGTATATGGAGTTATTTCCCGTCTTTAATCAAGAGTGTGGTTTTCAATTTGAGAGCATTCTTTTTTTTTCCATTCAGATTTTGTAATGCTTTCCCTAAAACCCTGCCCTCTTTCTAAAATGACTCCAGCGCAAATCTCCTCTGCTCCTGCTCAAAACCGACTGTCTGCACTCAGATACTGTTGTTGTTCAGTTTCAGTGTGTCTCCTCGTGGCTACATTGATTCTGCGTGATCGGAAAACTTCTGCTTTCGGATTTATGCCCCCATGTTCATCCCTTTATGAAACAACCCTGCCAAAATCCTCCAACCAATAGAACGCCAGCTATGGACTGTCGACTGATGAAATCGCTGTTTTCTCCGTGAGTGTATTCCAAAATCTAAACATAAAATAAAGAAGTAATGCTCTCAACTGATAAAAGATAGTCAATCAATAAATGTCGGCACATCTACCCATTTCTCGAACACAACCACATCAGAGGTTTTCTTTTCCATTTGGCATCAATTTATTTGACTTTCGGGGACAAAGGAGTAATTGATTAGCATTTTGCAAAAGATAGATAGTTCTACTGTAACTTTTCTCTGGTTAAAAGACTAAAATTATGTTAGAGGCAGGAGGATTTCATTTGCTTGATACACATAGGCACAACTTTCAAGTCTCTAATAAAGAGGATACAGAAGACTTCATACTATCAGACCTTAATACAAACACTTTGACACCCTTTCCTAACACCACTGGAATGCTGAGGTAAAGCATATGGACATGAAAGGTCATTGTGTCGCACTGTGTACTGGATAATCGATGTACACAAGCTGGAGCAGGATAACAGGTTTAACTGGTCTTATTTACAGATTTAAAAAAAAAAAAAAAACAACAACAAAAAAAGAAAAAAATGTGAGTTAATACTTTAGCCCTCTTGCTAAAATAGCAGCAAGAGATTCCAGTTTCCACTTCCACCACTTTTTTTTTTTTTTGTGCAAACACACACAAACAAAAAAGGAAAAAACGTGTTCAGCATGATAAAGCAGTGCAAAGTTATCTCAGATTTCATGACCTTATATCAATGTTAGGAATGCATTCATTAGACGTGGAATGTCAGAGATACACTTTGTTGGAAATTCGTTTGTGACGACTAGATTAGAAACGATCAAATTTATCCCAAAAGCGTTAGAATGCAACAAACAGAAGGCCTAAAAATTCCAGAATTTCATGATTTTTTTTTTTTTTACTCAGCGGACATTGCGACAGGTGATTAGTTTGATTCCCATAAAGAAAAACAAAAACAACAACAAAAAAGAAAATGCATGAATGAGGGAGGACAAGACCAGCAGCCTGAAGCCACTTTTAAATGCCTCATGCAAACTGTCCCATTGTTCACATACAGTTTTACCATATGTCGGTCTCCCTTCTTCCTTCCTTTACCAGCAGCGGCTACAAATAAAACAGCTGCCACGCCAGATGTTGTACAGCTGACAGGTACCTCCACCGCTCTACCCGCTCTCCTCCTTTGCAGCCTGTTCCAGTGCGCTCTCTGAAGCGGCCGAACCCTCGAACCTCTGAGAGGCGATGGCGGCCTGGTGGGACATGCTCTTCCTCACCACGTCCCCTTTCCTCCACAGTGTGATCTCCTGTGGGGGTGGACCAAATGAAAGGTTGGCGAGTTTGTGTTTGTTGATGATGCTAATTTCACTAGCTGTGCTTCAACATATTTCTCAAGCGAGTTCAAAGAAAACATTTGGCAAAAAATGTTAAAGAAAATGCAAAGTAGGCTTGTTTCTCTGAACTGAGCATCGTGTGGTCAGAGGGTGGCAACGTTGGCTACATGACACATGGCTGTAGTAAACAGAGTAGAAGAAGCTGGATTAACAAAACAGCTGTTTGCCAGCCGCTAAAATGTCACAAAGAAGAAAAAACTCTGGCCATCTATGTCAGAAAAATAAAGGGGAATCTTCAGAAATTCAGAAAGTATTAATTATTCCTCATGTTAGCTGGTTGTAGCCGCCATGTTTCATGCTATCAAGAGATAAAGAAAACCAACTTATTTAGAGAGGTTTTTAGATTTGTTTGTGCCTTTTTGATGAACTTTTCTTAAGTGATACTTCAAAACATGCATAAAAATACATGATGGAATCATGACTGCTGTATATCTATGACAGCTACAGACCCTTTTAAGCTTTCTGATGACCTCCTTTACGACTAGCAACAAATGCATATGTGCTGTTATCAGTGCATTATAATGATGTTTTGGTCAGGGACATAGTTGCATATTTAAACATTAAAGTTGTTTTCTGAAGCACTTTAACTTCCTGATTTGCTATAGAAATCAATCTTTAAAAAATATATATTTGTGCCATACAGTCCATCACAAATGTGATGAAGACAACGATTACATGCAATTAATATTAGCCAAATAAATTAGTAAAATGTTTAATTATATTTGTATTATATTACGTTATTTAGATGATTAAATCTATGGTGATGTTTCTTTGGTAAAATAAACTCCTTCACAGCAGATGAAAAATGAAAATCATAGTGGGTTTTTTTTTTTCTTAACTACCTTAAAATAACATTTACACTTCCTATAACCCACAGAGAAAGGCTGTGCTGCACTATGATGATGACAGTTGTATATTATCCAGTAGACTGCTGCTAGTTGTAACTATGAATTTAATCAATGCACCCTCTGCTCTGTCTGTGAGGCATAGGTCTGAATTTAGAAAGAAAACTAGAGGAGCTGGTTCACCAGCTTTCCCACCGATGGCTGCCGAGACAGAGTGTAGCTCAGATTTTGACGGCAGCCTCAGTATGACATATCTGTCACTGTGATTGTGGCTGTATCCGTCCACATTTCTTTTAAGTTGGTGCAACACCGACTACACGGATGTCTGTGAATGTGAAGTGATAGCTGGGCTGGCTCTGTTGAAGCTGCTACATTCCTGAACTCCTGTGGCGTGTCAGTAACTGTCACAGACGCGCCACA